CTTAATAAATACATTTTTATTCATTCATTCATTCACAGAGCATGGAGATTAGGGGCTCTTTCACTGAGCCCAGTCTTTAGCAAGTAGGTCCAGGCTCTTTCCCTGGTCACCTGTTTAAGTGCCACGGCCAGCACTCATGCAGAGATGATTAGGAGAGGCAAAGATGGCAGGGGAGAGCAAGGGAATTATGTAAGGAGAGGCCAGCATCTTCTCATAAGAACAGCCTACAAGCCATAATACACAAAGCACATTAATTCAGCTTACCACCCCAGGCTCACTATTATACCTAGTTCCGGCATAGTTGATTTCTCTGCACCTGACCCCAGCTCTAGTTTCCTGGTAATGTTTTCCTGTACTTGACTCCTCTTATTTTCCTTGGAGACATCTTTTTGGTATAACTTGGTCTTGTCTCAAACTCTTGGCACCCTCCCAACCACATTGAAACAGCCATGCTAAGGCTTTGTTAGTTTGCAGTAGCCACTGGGGAGCGGCAATTGTCACTAATTTCTATGCCCAGACTGTCAGAGACCACTTAAAAACAAGTTGGGAGAAGGGGAGGGACTTGCGTGTTAGAGCAGGTAGAAGGAAGGATGGGATGTCATTTGATAAAGCTGCTTTAAATTTCTGTTTTAAAACATCATTAAGCTTTATGTTTTAAATGTTACAGGGCAGCTAGCTGGCACAATGGATAGAGCTCTGGCTTTGGAACCAGGAGGACCTAAGTCTAAATCCGGCCTCAGACACTTGGCACTTGCTAGCTGTGTGAACTTGGGCAAGTCACTTAACCCTGAAGCCTCACCAAAAAATAAATGAATGAATAAATAAAAGTTACAGCATTAATTCTATCTCACAATGGGTAAATCTTGAAAGGATATATAAATAGGTAATTTTCAAAAGGGGAAACCAAAATTGTTAATATTGACCTGGGAAAAAATGATCAACCTTACCAACAATCAAAGAGATGCAAATTAAAATAACTTTAAGGTAGTGCCTCATACTCATAAAACCAGCAAAAATTAAAACATTTAAACTTGAGGCTGTTTGGGAGGAACAGGTAGAATTGCACATTCTTAGAATCTTTTTTGGAGAGTAACCTGGCAGGGCACAATTTTGTTGTTCCATCATTTCAGACCCTTTATGACCCCATTTGGGGTTTTCTTGGCAAAGATACTAGAATGGTTTGCCGTTTCCTTCTCCAGCTCATTTTACAGATGAGCAACTGAGGCAAACAGAGTTAAGTGGTTTGCCCAGGGTCACACAACTAGTAAGAATCTGAGGCCAGATATGAACTCAAGAAGATGAGTCTTCCTGACTCCAGGCCTGGTACTCTATCCACTGCACCATGTAGCTGCCTAAGCAGGGCACAATGAAAATTACCATTTGCCTCAGTCATTCCCACTGGTGCAAATGTACCCTGAAGGTGTTATCAAAAACTCATCCTTAAGATCTATAAATTATGACAACATTGCTATAATAGGATGCTGTAATGTTAGTAAGATCCACAAGTGTGAGGACTACAAGAAATCTGGAAAGAGCTTTATGAAGTAATGGGAAGAAAAAAAAAGCAGAACTGAAAGAAGAGAATACACATTAACAATGACCCCCATAAGAGAAAAAGTCAAGGAAAAGTAATGTGCAAAGAATCCCAAAGGACTTAGCAAAAGTGATTGCTATGTTGTTTTGTGTTGAACTTACTTAATTAAAATGTAAATAATTGCTAATCAAGTTCAGTTGATTGTATAAATGTTTGGTGTCAAAATAATAAAATATTTAGAGTGACTTGATTGAGATCTCCCCCAAACCCCTCCAAATACCTGTAAAAAAATGGCTCTAAACAAATTCTAAAGCAGCAGAACCCACAAAAAGACAGAGTGAAACAAATTTCCAGCCCAAGATAACCTGGATGGTTGATTGGAAAGGTATAGTACATCGGGCTGGGAGAGGAACACAGTTCAGCATGGGAACACAGTCAAAATAGGCCTCAGCAAACCTGGAGTAGCCCTCAGAGGAGTGAATCATGGACAGCTGTGGAGGTTTCCAGACTTCTCAACCCATGAACACCAAAGACAATTAGAAGGTCAGTAGGAAAAGTCTATGACCTTGGTGAGAGAGAAGCTGGGTCCCAGCCCTAGTCCCCATACAGCCCTGGGGCAGCAGCTGCTTCTGGAGCTTCCAGCCCACAGACTGAGGGGGAATCGAGTGGCTGATCAGAGGGTGATTGCTGGGATCTCTTTACTGGTGCTGAGGCAGGATTCTCTTGCTTTGCCCGTTCTTGGATCTGGGTCAGAGTTCTGGGTGGTGATCCTGGGGCAAGGAGGAGTGCTGGTGTGGTAGAGCTCATAGTGGCAGTGCAGAGAAAATCCTCCTCACAGTTCCAAGACAGAAACTCACAGACCAGAACACAGGCCAGGAAAGGAATAAACACCTCACCCCTTATCATAGCACCTTCAAAGAACTGAAAATTTACAGGTCCCTAGAAGTATCTCTGAAAATAACTGCACAAAACCCCTGAAGCTTGGGACAGTACTCATTCTCCACACTGGAAGCAGACCCCTACCTTAACAAAGAGTTTATAACTCAAGTAATTGGCTGGAATCATAAGCAAGCAGTGCAAAAAGAGTCAGACCATAGAATCTTACTTTTATGACAAAGAAGATCAAAACATACAACCAGAAGAAGACAACAAAGTCAAAGCTCCTACATCCAAAGCCTCCAAGAAAAATATATATATCTGTCCCAGGCCATGGAAGAGCTCCAAAAGGATTTTGAGAAGCAAGTAAGAGAAGTAGAGGAAAAACTGAGAGTGATGCAAGAAAATCATGAAAAACAAGTCAACAGCTTGCTAAAGGAGACCCAAAAAAATACTAAGAAAATAACACCTTAAAAAATAGCCTAACCCAAATGGCAAAAGAGGTCCAAAAAGCCAATGAGGAGAAGAGTGCCTTAAAAAGCAAAATTGTCCAAGTGGAAAAGGAAGTCCAAAAGCTTACTGAAGAAAATACTTCCTTAAAAATTAGAATAGAGCAATTGGAAGCTAGTGACAATTTGAGAAATCAAGACACTGTAACACTAATCCAAAAGAATGGAAAAATAGAGGACAATGTGAAATTTCTCATTGGAAAAACAACTGACCTGGAAAATAGATCCAGGAGAGAGAATTAAAAAATTGTTGGACTATCTGAAAGCCATGATCAAAAAAAGAGCCTAGATATCATCTTTCAAGAAATTATCAAGGAAAACTGCCCTCATATTTTAGAACCAGAGAGCAAAATAGAAATTGAAAGAATCCACTGATCACCTCCTGAAAGAGATCCCCAAAGGAAAACTCCTAGGAATATTGTAGCCAAATTCCAGAGTTCCCAGGTCAAGGAGAAAATATTGCAGGCAGCCGGAAAGAAACAACTCAAGTATTGTGGAAACACAATCAGGATAACACAAGATTTAGCAGCTTCTACATTAAGGGACTGCAGGGCTTAGAATATAATATTCTGGAGGGTAAAGGAGATAGGATTACAACCAAGAATCACCTACCCAGCAAAACTGAGCATAATCCTTCAGGTGAAAAAAAATGGATATTCAGTGAAATAGAGAACTTTCAAGCATTCTTGATGAAAAGACCAGAGCTGAATAGGAAATTTGACTTTCAGATACAAGACTCAAGTGGAACATGAAGAGGTAAACAGGAAAGAGAAATCATAAGAGACTTATTAAGGTTGAACTGTTTACATTCTGCATGGAAAGATGATATTTGTAACTCATGAGTCCTTTGTCAGTATTAGAGTAGTTGGAGGGGAAAAATAGATAGATAGATAGATAGATAGATAGATAGATAGATAGATAGATAGATAGATAGATAGATAAATAGAGGGAAGAGGGTGAGTTGAAGATGAAGGGGTGATATCTGGAGAATAAAATTAAGGAGTGAGTGGGGATTATAGAGAGAGAAGGAGAAAGGGAGAGATAGAATGGGGTAAATTATATCACATAAGACAGACAAGAAAAAGCTTTTACAGTGGAGGAGAAACAGGGGAAGATAAGAGGGCATGAGTGAATCTTACTCTTCATTGGATTTGGCTTAAGGAGAGAATAACATACACACTCAATTGGGTGTGGAAATCTATCTTACCCTACAGAAAAATAGGGGGGGGGGAAGGGGATAAGAGAGCAGGAGGATGATAGAGGGGAGAGCAGATTAGGGGAGGACTAAAAATAAAAAATACAAAAAAAATACAATAAAATATTTAAATTAAAATTTCCTATTTTAAGCTGTTTTATTAGTACCTTTTTATAGGGCAAGTTTTGAAAAGCTATGGAACTTGGAGAAATTTTTATATATGCAAGGTGTCTCAAAAGTCTTAGTGTAATTTTAAAAGTGTAAAACTGCACTAAGACATGAAAAATTATGTGTATATGTATATGTATATATGTGCACAAACACACAAATATGTACATGGACACACATTTTATAGGAGGGTTGCTGGGAAATTCCTGAGAAATAGTTCTAAGTTCCAGTATTAGTAACATAAGCTCTGAATGACAGAATTTCAGAGTTGGAGGGAACCTCAAGGAATCACCACTAAAAGATACTCACCCAGTAACCATCCAGGGTCTGTTTGGAGACTTCTAATGAAGGTGAACCACGTGACATAGTCCATTCACCTTTTGAGTTGCTTCAATCATTAGGAAATTTTTCCTAACCTTACACCTAAATTACCTCTTGTCAACTTCCACCCATTGCTTCAATATATGGGTGATCCCCTTCATGGCGGAATAGCAGATAGAGTGTTTTGTGTGATTTACTGTATTTTTGTAATTTTTGTAAAATTCTTTTTAATGAAAAGTAAGGTCACCATATATTTGAAGGTGTCTTCTACTGTGGTCAGTATGATATGCCCTTGCCTAGTATAGAATCTGATTTAAAACTTTTTAAAATGCTAAATAGATTTCATATTAGTAATTCCATATTATAAATATAATAGGATTCACTTTTTTTTTAACAGGTTTCATTTTTCTTGTGGAAAAATATCCTCTTATATTGAGATGGCATTTGCACCTCCCAAAAACCTAGATGGCCCCAAAATGCAGACAAAAATGAGTACCTGGACACCCCTAAACCATCAGCTTTTGAATGAAAAGGTAAGTGTGTGTATGTGTATGTCTATATCTATACAGTCATCAAAAGGTTTGGTTTTTTTTAAGTGCTAAAGCTAATGCTATTAAAGTGTGAATCCATGTAGTGTAGCTTAGATAATGGTGATCAGATCAAGCATGAATTTGACTATTCCCTGTTAATCATCTTGTTGGGTTTTAACGACTATTTTAAAAGGATCTCTTTCAGCTTTTTAATCTTTGTAGAAGAATATTCTCCTTTCCATAAAGGGGTGGGTGACTGAGTTTTGCAGGAGGTACTCCCAGACCAGGAAGCCAGAGCAAAGTATGTTTGACTACAAATGTGGTATTTTAAGCATATTAATATACAGCATGTAAAAGTGCAGATATCTGTATGAATTGCTTTGACGTATATTGTATAACCATGGAAACATGAAGATATCTAGGATCTTTAAACGTAGACTCTGAGACCTTTCAGTTAGGCATGGGTAGGTAGGTGACATCTAGGAAGTGGAGTGTTGCAGGGACTGCCACTAACTTTGTTGTTGTTCAGTCATTTTTTAAAATCGTGTCTGACTCTTTGTGATTCCATTTGGGGTTTTCTTGGCAAAAGATACTAGAATTGTTTGCCATTTCCTTCTCCAGCTCATTTTTTTTAACAAGTGAGGAAATGGAGGCAAACAGGGTTAAGTGACTTGCCCAGGGTCACACAGCTAATAAATGTCTGAGGCCATATTTAAACTCAGGAAGATCATCTCCGGACTCTGCACTCTATCCACTGTACCACCTAGCTGCCCTGACTAACTAGCTATGTGGCTTTGGGTCTCATCTTTAAAATGAAAGAGTAAGTAAAATGATGTGTAGAAGTCTCTTCTAGTGCTGACATTCTGTCCTCAGTGACCTCCCTTATCACCAAATCTAGTGGTATTTTTCTCAGAATCACAGAATTGGAGAGTTGGCAGGGACCTCAGCAGCCATTTAGTCCCTCCCTCCTCCCCATATAAAAGGAGCCCACACTATAATGTATGGGACAAATGGTCGTGCAACCTCTGCTTAAACACCTCCAAATAGTGGAGAGCCCGCCGCCTCTTTAGGTAGTGCTTTCCACTTTTGGACCGCTCTAATTGTTAGGAAGGGTGTTGGGGGTTTTATTGTTTGCTTGTTTGTGTTTTCCTAATATGGAGCCTAGATCAATCTCTTTGCAGTTTCCATCTCTTGCTCCTACTTCACTCTCTAGGGTCAAATGGAAGAAGTCTAGTCTGTCCTCTGCATGACCCTCGTAGATCTTCTCTTTTTTCGGTTAAATATTCCTTTAACTGATCCTCATGTGACATGGACTCAAGGCTCTTCACTGCCTTCTGGGAACTCTGAAGCGTATCAGTACCCTTCCTAAGTCTCAAGTTTAGCTTACTTTTTCTAGCTTCCATACCTTCGTCCTCAACTCTCCAAGGTATATCTATTGACATCCTTCTGTTCCTTCAAAGCTGAGCTTAGATACTCCATTAGATATTTAAATCTCCGTGATCATTTCCCAGATCCCTCCAACCCAAGATGATCAATCACTCCCTCTTTGACTCTCTCATAGCACTTCATACCTTTCCCATGCTTACCATGTTTTGTGTGTACCAGAGATATTTCTGCGCCTATCTTCTCTTCCCACCAGACTGAAAGCTTCTTGAAGGCAGACTGTTTTCTTCATGGATCCCTAGAATGTAACACAATGCCTTGCACATAATAGGCATTTTTCTTATTTCTGTCTCTTCTGACTTCAGGAATAGGAAGCAGAGGAGTAAGATGTTGAAAAATGTCTACAAGTGTTAGAATAAAAGAGCAAGACAAAATGGAAGGAAGAAGCTGTGGTGGCTAGTCATATTCAGACTAAAGAGCAACTTGGCTTCATGGGGGCAGTATGACAGAGTGGAGTAAGAATCCAAAGACTTGGGACCTAAAGTCAAAGGACCAAGGTTCAAATCCTGGCTTTGCTCTTTATTACCTGTGGTACCTTGGGAAAATAACTTAACCTTCCTGGATATCATTTTTCTTACCTACAAAATGAGAGAGTTGGGTTAGAAGATCCCTTCCATCTCTATCTCCTGATTCTGTCACGAGTTGAAAGTGAAAAATATTTCACAATATCTAAAGGTTAAATGTGGGCCTTATTTCATGGTATGATGCCCGTGGTACTTGTAGCACTAAATATAGCCCATATTGGTTCATGTACTGCATTCCATATATAATTATAATAATAATAATGACCATAAATAATAATAATAATAAAACTTTAAAGTTTGCAAAGCACTCATTTTATGGTCACAACAATCCTGGAGGTGGAAAAACTTGAAGTTTTTGCAAAGCACTATACATACATTATCTCATTTTATCCCCACAACAACCCTAGGAGTAGGTGCTATTATTATCCCCATTTTACAGTTGAGGAAACTGAAGGAGACAAAGTGAAATGACTTGCCCAGGACCACACAGCTAGTAGGTATCTAAGACCAAATTTGAACTCAGGTCTTCCTGACTCCAGGCCCAGGATTCTGTCTACTGCACCACCTAGCTACTTCTTTATACCTCAAGCGTATAGAAAGATAGTGTGTCACTAGGCCCCAGCCCAGTGATCTCTCTATTGCATTTATGAGATAGACTTCCAAAGGTTACAATGTTCCAAGTGGACACTACAAGCACATGCTTAGATTGATCCCCTCCTGCCGTACCATCCATCCTGTAGCTTTAAGCAAGACCTTGGTTCAGAATTTAATATAGGGAATAAAAAATTAAATATTACTTAAAATATTAAAATATGAAACGTAAGGTCTTTACACAGTTATAGAGCTCCCTCTGCTTTGTGGACTTTCCTATCTCAGGTCATGACTCCCCTTATACTCACAGGACTCAGATATAAAATGTACTATTATTTCATAGCTTCTTGAATATGAAGAAAAAAAGAAGAGCCATGTAGAGCCATCTCTCTCTACAGCCACCTCAGAAACTTCTCTTTGAGGGAACTAGGTAGAACAGTAGATAAATGCCAGGCTTGGAGGCAGAAAGACCTGAATTCAAACTGCTAGCTCTGTGAGTTCTAAGACAGGGAAGTATTAGGTGGGGCGGGGGTGGGGGGGAGGAAGGGGCAAGTCACTTACCTCTGTTTACCTCAATTTCCTAAACTGTAAATGGGAATAATAATAACACCTACCTCCCCGGGTTGTTATGAGGATCAAATGAGATAATGCTCGTAAAACACTTAGTACAGTGCCCAGCACACAGTAAGGGCTTTAATAAATGCCTGTTCCCTTCCTTCTTTCCTTTCTTCCTTCCTCTCTCAAATCTTCAGTGGTGATAGGAAATAGTCCCCAAATCCCTCCATTTCTACAACTTAGAAAGAAAGAGGGAAGGGATATGGATATTTGTGTTCAAGAATCCTTCTCTTGTTCACAGATCATAGACAAAGAAAGTGGGAAGAGCACTGGAAATCAGTCTCCCCTTCTCAGATAACCATCCCACTGTGTCTGTAATAGTTTGTAGTCAGTTCTCAAGTTTGCCTTTGTGGTTCTCACCTCATCTGGCTCCAGGTTCAGACTTTCCTCCTCAATGCTCCATCAGTCTCAGTCACTGACCAGTAGAGTCTTGGGCCATGGTAATAGTGACACCATAGCCACAGTCTCAGCTGTTCCAATGTACATCCTGGATATCTGGCAGTCCCAATCAATGGCAGCTTCCTGCAGATACTTATTGTTCATCAGCAAGTCTGAGGAAAGAAGACAGAAAGTCAATCTTAAATACCAACATGCAGATCTCTCTGTCTCTGTCTCTGGCTATCTCTGTCTCTCTGTGTGTCTCTCTCTGTCTCTGTCTCTGTCTGTCTCTGTCTATCTCTCTCTTTCTCTTTCTCTCTCTCTCTCCCTCCTATTGCACAGCTTCCTGCCCCATGCCCCATGAGATGCCCAGTAATCAGCCTCTTGGGTATACAAGTGTCATCAGAAATTCTCTGCAAGGCTCTCTATCTCAGAATAACCCTGGACCCAGTGAAAAATAATAATTCAGAGATATGGCAAGGCATGGACCTAGGCTACATTCATTTCTTTTCTAAATAAAATAATATTATGTTCTCTTTGGTCCCTAATTCACTACATATTGAAAAATAAAGCAAAGTACTCAGTGAAAAACTTTTCAGGAAATAAATGGGTCAGTTGCAAAGTTTCCTGTTATTGCTAGCTCCCTGTGAGTCTACAGCTGACCAGCAGGTGTCATTGTGGTGATACCATATTACTATTGTTCAGTCGCTTCAGACTCTTCATGTTCCCATTTGGGGTTTTCTTGGCAAAGATACTCGAGTGGTTTGCCATTTCCTCCTCCAGTCCATTTTATAGATGAAGAAGCTGAGGCAAATGGAGTTAAGTGACTTGCCCAGGTCACACAGCAAGTAAGTGTCTGAGGCCAGATTTGAACTCATGATGATATCTTTCTAATTCCAAGCCCATTGCTCTGTCCACTGTGCCACTATATACTGGAGCACAGCAAAAAGTGAGCCCCATATTGCTAGTACAACCATTATTTTACTACGACTGGCACTACTAATACCACTACCTTACATTTCTATAGTAATTTATAGTACTATAAAATGTGTCTGTGTGTCTGTGTATATATAATATATTATATGTAATATGAAATTTTACACAGTACTTAGGAAGGAAGTGTGGCACAGCAAAAAGAATATTCAGTTTGGAGTCAGAGGATTCCTGTGGAGTGTGTGTGTGTGCGCATGCACGCGCGTGTGCATTCAAAGATTAGCTTTGCTACTTAGCATCTGTGTGACCTTGGATAAGTCACTTAACCTCTCTTGTAAAATGAGGGGGTCACTAGACTAAATAACCGCTAAAGTTTCTTCCATTTCTAAATCTATGATCTCATGATTTCAGCTAATCCTCACAAAAACCTATAGGGTAGGTAGAATAGACATAATCCATGTTAATTTTTTTTAACAGATGTAAGTGAGATGAGGGTGTATCCAGTCATTAATGATCATT